TTTATTATATCAACGAGTACAACATCCTGTTGAATCCATTGTATTACACACCGGACCACCCTGTATATCTATTGATTTGAGAAGGAAAGGATGTCCCTTGTGAGGATGTTTTGATTTTATTTTTATAGCAAAGAATAAGTTATAGCGGCTGGTATTTCATAACTTGTCACCCTGTATGCACAGGGTGGCTGAAATTCGAGCCTCATCATTGGAATCTCGTGAACCATAAGATATACAGGGTCGTTTAAATTATGGCCAAGTTGCACAATTTTATGCATAACGAAATTCCGATTTGAAATTTAAAAATCCCAAATACTTCCAAAGATTTTTGTAAAAAAACGAATATTCGCGATTTCATTTCAATTTTTTATTACTCTATTTGAATAGATGTAACAAAAAATTACACATTTTCATTGCTACTTCTTCTGTTCTACAAGATGGTGTTAACAGATTTTCATACCGACGTTTCGTCTTTGAGCTGCCATCATCAGCTTTATTTTATCAAATACGGCCTTTGGAATTGTTTCATGGATTTTAAGAGATTTCAATCTCCTAAAATCAATGGTGTATCACACTTATTCGAAAAAAGTGTTCGTTTTTAATCATATCATAACTTGTCACCCTGTATGCGCAGGGTGGCTGAAATTCGAGCCTCATCATTGGAATCTCGTGAACCATAAGATATACAGGGTCGTTTAAATTATGGCCAAGTTGCACAATTTTATGCATATCGAAATTCCTCCCTAGGAACGCACGATGTTCTTTGAACATTATAGGGATTCCCTTTCGTGCGCTCCAATCGATAAAAAAAAATATATTCTATGTCTCTCTAACATGAGCTCTTATGAAGAATGCCATTAATATTATTGTTCCATAAGTGCGATGAACCGTTGATTCTATCAGATTGAAAGCTCTCAAAATCCATGAAAATCCAGGGCCGTATTTAAAAAAACAAAGTTGACGATGGCAGCTCAAAGACGAAACGTCGGTTTGAAAATCTGATAACACCATCTTGTAGAACAGAAAAAGTAGCAATAAGAATATGTTATTTGTTTTGTTACATCTATTTAAATAAATTCATAAATAAATAAAAATGAAATCGCAAATATTCGGATGTTCCCAAAAATCTGCGTTCATAAACTCACTCTAGCAGTTCAGAGTATGCATTCACAGTCGTTCAGAAACTTACTAAGAGCCTTTCTTACCCTGAATTTGCATAGAGTAATGGTGTACGCTGACAGTTGTCAAGTTTTGTTCATCAATGTTTATTTATGTCTTGAATCAATATCTGGTCGATTTTATATAGACCCCACATCCATATGGATAACGTAGTCTGGACTTGGACAGCAAAATCACTATCCATTTAATAAAAACAGTATCCCTTCCAGTTTGAACTGGCAGTTAGCCATGATTGCCAGTTGATCAGGCAATTACCGCATAAAAATTTGAACAGAGGTGACGTCAAATTTGCTATAGTGTAGAACTTTAGGTGGAAAAAGGGGTCTCAAATTTCATTTTGATCCCTACATTTGTTTTATTAGTGCCATTCGATAGTACACGTCTAGCTTTCTCAGTGTGTTTGGAATATTTGCATTCATTTCATTGCCACCCTGCATAGGTATCATCTGGCACCTCTGTCGTCTGAGATAGAAATATTTCAATCTCAAGCAAGGTGGATAAAAAAATCCCAAGGACCTATCATTATGTTATGTGTTATTTCAAGATTACTGATAATAAGGGTGATTGTCATAATAAGTTTTGTATCGTCTGTTTTTACTTCCGGAAAAGATTTTCTCCGTAAAGTTGAATTATTATTATTATTATCTTTCCCACAAATATCACATGTACGGACAAGTGATCGATGTCACAGTGTGACATATTTGTAATATAGAATGTATACTTGCATATGGAATGTTAGTGATTTTTTATGTGATGTCGCATTTCATGGCTGAACGATGCCATAGTGATGTTCCTTGAGTCAGACATTTTCACATCGCCACGTTGTATCGGTAACATGCTTGTGACTTCTAATGCGATATCCAAGACGATAATGCATGTAACAAAGTATTGTCGCGTATACATCAGTTATACATCTCATGGTTGACTGTTGCATTCAAACGCGTAACCTAACATTTCATGAATACTGGCACTACATCATCATTTCTCCACTAGTGGCCAACAGTAAACGTTTAGTCTCTAACAGGGTTCCTTGCAATGACTCGCTAAAGCTCTGCCAGACTGGGCAGTACTGTTCGTGAATATCGGAACATGATATGATATATATAATTATCCTCATAAAACGAAATCTTGAAACCTGTGAGTTTTATAACACTTGACATTTGTTATCTTGCATAATTTCACATAACAGTCTTTGAACGGCTACTCTGAGTAACCTTCAACGATATATTTTCAGATCATATTTTCACTCTACTCACAGGAGTAAGTTTATGAAAGCAGTCCATCATAATTTAACCGACCCTGTATATCTTACGGTTTATGAGATCCCAATGATGATCCTCGATTGCCAGCCACCCAGTACAGGGTGGACAAATTTCGATGTTTGTGTAGGTTATGAAAACAAAAGACGATGGCAAATTCTTGTTTCCGCCAGTGAATTTGGCCTCTCCAAAAGAGAACAAGGATGCCACCTCCATTTTTTGTCTCTCCGATCATAGAGGGTATGTCGCGGCGAGCTTACACTATCTGTATATCGGGAATCAGTCACAAACAAACTATGAAAATGTGCATGCTTACATTTGAGATTACGCTCTCTTCGTATGAACTATTTTCGACAATACAATATTGCCGCTTCTACTAGAAAGTAGTAACAACTGTGCTCCCTGAAAACCTGATTCCATCAATTTATCACACTTGGGGCCTAGCGGAAATGATTACAGAGTCGAAATTTTTTAACTCCAGGATTTTTTGTGTCAAAACTATGCATTATTGATCATAATGGCTAACATGTCCCCACCTCAACTTTTGATTCATTATGTACTGACATTCTACTTCAATCAATCTTTATTTCAATCTTTGCTATAAATATTACATTGCATCTCATATAAATATAATCATTAACATTTACAATGGAATAACATGTACAATCACACAGATTCATATCTGGTATGAGATTATTCATGCGTTATCAAATTAAATTATAGTTATTGAAATAAACAACAGAATATGAAAAAAATAAATAAAACAAAAAGCTCATGAAAAGTACATTATGACATGATGAAATAAATTAGTCAATGAGAAATCATTCACTCAGGTTTGATTTTCTCTTTGCAAGAGGATATGTTTCTTGACTTTGATTTTGAATTGGGTGATATTTGTGCAACTTTTGATATCATCAGGTAATTTATTGAATTTTGAGATAGCTCCGTGAGTGAACTTTTTTTGACCAAGTGTAGAATGAGCAGCATCAAGATGAAACAAGTCATATTGTCTAGTATGATGTTCATGGATTTGAGAATTCCTTACCAATATGAAGTTAGATTTGAGGTGTTTGTTGATAATATCAAAAGAAATTTTGAGAGTATTTATCAGATAGTGCTCTTCCAAAGAAAATGTATTTGTTTCTTCATAAAGTTGATTTGATGGGGTGTCATATGGAAGACGATACAGTACTTTGGATGCTTTTTTATACATATAGTACAGATATTTTGTTGAAATTATTCTTGGAACATGAACCCCAAATATTTATGAGATAGTTCATTTTACTAAGGATGTGAGAGTATAGAACGGTATTTGCTATATTTGGGAGAAGTTTTGCAATGAAATACAGGGTATTCCATATAAAATATCGAAGTTGTAGCAAATTTCTAGTACAAGAGGCAACACTGCATTGTCCAAAATATTTCGAACGAAGAGAGAGTAATCCCAAATATAAGCATGCACATTTTCATAATTTTTTTGCGACTGATTCTCTATACAGGATGTCCGTTTTTCGAGCTCCAACATGGGGATCTCAGTTATTATAATATACGAGGTCGGTTAAATTTGGGAAAAGTTGCGCATTTTCTCATGCTGAACATTTATCTGCAAGAAAATTTTGATGTCAAGACCTAGACGTTTCTGACTGGGACATTCTTAAGGCACTTTTTTACGAGGAATCTGAATCTGTCATTGTATTTTCCATGACGTTCTTAATGCCAAAATTACAACACACAACTTTGTTTTTTCTTATGGGCGCTATATTGGATTTTTACATTTTTTAAAAGTCTTTTTTTTTCTGATTACAATGATCTATCACACGATATGATCGAATCTTTCCTGTTAATCAAAATTGGGAAAAACATTTTTGCGAAGAGTGCTTTGGAAAAAACGCCAACAGTTTTGTTTAACAAGCTGAATTTGGACAGTTCATTTGAATTTGGATCTGGAACGTTCACATTTTCGTCAAGTTCATCTACTCAAAAACTATGTTGCAAATTTTCTTTTTTTTTTTGAATAATTTAAAACCAAAAAATGACAGATGAATGTTCAGCATGAAACTGCGCAACTTTGCCGTCATTTAACCGACCTCGCATCTCTTATAATAACTGATATCCCCATGGTGAAGCTCGAAAAACGGGCACCCTGTATACAGATTGTGTAAGCTCGTCGCGGCATACCCTGTATAGTTACCGAGTTATCCTTTACTGACATTGAAATTTGTTCACTCTGTACATTCAATAAATGTACTTATCTCAAGAACATGAACGAGTTAAAAAAATTAATAGCGTCTGAATATATTTTTTGGAGTCAAATCACTTGAATACCAAAAAATGCTGATCTAGTATACCTACAACTTAGAATAAACTAGAAGTGCCAAGGACCTATGATAAATATGTGCAAATATAATATATTATATATTTATAAACATTTACAAAATCAAAAAATAATATTCGAAAGAGTATCTTTCCAATGTCAAACTATAAAACAAAATATACACAATAACATTTGTCATGTTGATAAAACCCTTTGTTCTTATTGCTCAGTAATTCTAAATTGATACATTACTCATCACAGTGTCTATAAAAGTGAAAATTGTATTCGACATATTCTATGCCTAATTTGGTTGAAGATAATTTGCATGTGTTCTGAAAAAGAAAAAATAACTTTCAATTCTAAAATAATCACCCCACCCCGTATATGAAATCCATTGAAGATAATCGAACTGTATCTTGGACAGTAAAGAATATTTTTGTGTCTTTTCGCAATTGCAGCGATAAATAAAATTCTAATAAACAGTGGCGGCTCGTGGTAAATCGTTTTGTGCGTTCTGCAATTTTTGAAGAAAAAATACGTATTTCTCTGTGACGGGAAAAAAGTTTGACATTTCATCTCTATTGACAGCTCATAAAATATCAGTTTTCATAAATTACTTTTTTCCCACGGGAAGTACTTTTTTCCGGATATAGATACATATACACTGTTGATTGCTTCTGTTGTGCTAGTTCTGAAAAAGAAGCCAATAACACCGTTTCCGAGAAAGAACTTCAAGTCCTTTCATCTTCCATTCGACTTCGCGGTTACGTAAATTACTAAACAACCACTAAATACAATCAACTATTATCAACTTCAGAAGTTGTGTTCATGATTTCGAATGTTATATCTTCTGTTTTGATAATTTAGTTTGTTCTACATTCGAATCATCGTCCACTACAGAAGTACAGTATGATGTCGTTTTTATAAAATACATTCCTTCATTTTACATGATAGAATTCCTTATGATGTTTTACGTTCCGATGAATTACTGCTCCGTTAAATAACGGTTCCGTTGAAATACCATTTCGATCGAATATATTCTGATACAATACGATTCTGAAGAATTACGTTTTGAAGAATTATATGCAGTCTATTTTTTTGAGCTCTGCAGCAGTGGCGGCTCTTGCTCTTCTCAACAGAGGAAGCTGAATGAGTGAATGGAAAGTGTGAAATTTTGCCAAATAATCTGACGACACTTTAAGGGTTTTGTTTGTAGAAAATCCGTAAGAGGTGCTGATATCGTCATATTTTTACCATGATTTTGATGCCTTCTGAATCAAATAACAACAATCACTTAATACTTACGACAAAAAAAACAGAAATGGTGTAAGTAGGTTCATTTTTGATAGTGTTTTCTAAAATTCTGAGAGATAATTTCCATTTTGAAGAGAATTCTTACAGCGACATCTATTAGAATAAGATGTAACAAGAACCTCATATTGCTATTGTCAACTGTTTAGTGCCGTCAATGGGCAAAACAAAAGCGCATCGGTGCAAACACCATAGCTTATAAACATCTTAGTCAGACGTGCTCCCTCGTGAAACGCAATTCTGGTTAATTTCATTGGTCAGAGGCTGCTTTCCGTTGGTTGTTGCCAAGTCGTTGTATTCTATTCTGAATACTTTCAAGTAAAAGAGCATTGTTGCCAAATTCTCAAGCCCTACTTGATGTCAAGAAATATAACCGATAAATCGAACGTAACTCAACTATTTCCATAGATCAACGACTCCCCTATGCTATTTTGGTGTTATATTTCATACAAGTATATCGGACTATTTGATGTATGGAAATTCTTGAGAAGGTTCAGCTTCAGTTGCCTTCTCTAAGGAGCCGCCACTGCTCTGCAGCACTTATGCACCAGCCGCCACTGGCCACTGCCACTTGTTACTTCTACGCATTGTGAATAGGATGAACTTGAGTCACTGGATGGTATTAGATAGATTAGAGTTCGGACACAGCGGAACTTCTGTCTTTTTCTATTTTCTATATTACAGTGGTTTGAGTGAATAAAAGAATAAGACATATATTCTGCTCTTTGTCTTTTCAATTTCCCTAGTAGTGCCTGATTGTCAGATACGATTTTAGAGGTTAGATTTTCAGTCAAACCAATCATTGTCGTAGATGGATAATAGAAATAGGGTATGAACACCCACTTCAATTTATATAGCGATTCACTTTTCGCAGAACAATAATTATAAAAGTGAAAAGAATTCATGTAACAACATTTTAATATGACAAAACACTCATATATTTGGATATTCTTATAGCTAGTTCCTTATTGTATGTAAAACTGTACCGAAGTGATGAAGTTTAAAACATAAATATTGTTTTGATTTTCCACCTTTTGATGCATTCACTTTCCACTGATAAATTTTGAATATAATCAGTATTGAAAACGCCATTCAATGATATTGTATCACGTTGCAATTTACTTGATTTCCTCAGTTTCGTTTTCAAATTTTCAATTTCATTATGTAGTTTTGCAATCAATTCCTCTTTTTCTTTGATAATTTCGTTTTGCATTTCATGTTATGATATTATTGTATTCTGTTTTCAATATAGTTTCATTCCAATCTGCTGTTATAAAAAGTGAATTTCAATGTATGTACTTACCTCACGAATTTTGCTTTTCTTCAAATTAATTTTCCATCCAGGCCGTTCCATACATTCATTCCATAAGGGAATGGCTGATATTTCCTTTGGAAAATTAAATAAATGAAATCGCCACTCCCTTCAGAATTCCCGCAATTCATTACACAGCAGGGCATTTTCATTTCTGCTACTTCCTCAATAGTTTATGAAATTATATTTCGATTTTGACGTTCATAAAGTTTATTGGCATATTCAAACAATTTTGAATGAAACAGCGCGGAACAAGTACGATGCTGTTGTCACAATGTGTAACTCGATAAATCTATAAACATTCAAAAACACTTACAATTGTCATTTCCATTACCATCCAGTGACCCTAGGATAAACGATTATCGAACAATAAAGCTCCGTTTCAATTGATCGATTCATACCTGATTTTGCCTCAGGGAAGCCCTGTACGTCATCACCTTGGACTGGAAGTCGATCATGTCCACCTCAAAGACGACGCTCTGGAAGCCGATCAGCTGACTGGGGCTGTTCTCGTTGACCTTGTGCCTGATTTTCATTTTGTCGTCGAAGTAGGCCGACGAACTCACGAACGGACATTCGTGCTGCTTGTAATCGTTGTAGCAGTGTTCAATCTCTTTTATGTGCGATTGCGATGACCTGGAAGAATGTATTTTCGTGAACCTTCATGACACATTTTACAGTGTCTTTCACACAATTGGTATCATGTGGGAAAAACTATTGATAATAATTTATTTCGAAATTTCACTTCGACGTTGAGTTTTGCTTAAAGAAAGATGTCGGGGTCACGTGAATTTCGCTACATGACATAGTTATTCATTATATAAAGGAAAAATTAGTAGACTTTAGCTCGAGGTTGTGTTGTTTCCCGACGTGTAGCAGAGGGAGACAAAACACCGTGAATTGAAATCTAACATTTTTCCCGAGTATAATAAACTATTTTTTCCTGTGGCAGTTTGTACTTTTTGGACACAGGCGATTTTGAATTGAAGTGATTTTTTTTTCAAATATGTCACCTACTATTGTTGTCTCCATTTGAAAAATAATCTAATTTTGGGATGGACTGCTCAAAACCTAGTAGGTGAGGTATAATATTGTCTGTTCATTGGGAAAAATATGCAAAAATCGCTCTCAGCGACAATATTTTCAGCAAGGCAGAGACCTCTGATCCAAAGAAAGTTATCCTAACCCTAGAAATTTTTTGTATTTCTGTCAAGATTCATCTTTCTGTCAAGTTTGTTAACAATGATTTCTCATAATGATAATGACCCATTTCAAGTGTTCATACATTCACATACAGTGGTTTCCTTCCATGCCCCCCCCCGTTTATTTTTTGAAAGGGTCAACAGAAAAAAGTGAAACTTGGAATAATGAAATTGATGCATGAACACTATATTTAGGAGAAAAATTGACAGATAAAATTTTCAAGATGGCGACTGGGCGTCATCTGAGAAAAAAGAATTAAAGAAAAGGGAGGTCTTGTGACACATCATTTTGAAGCTCCTGACAAGTACTTTACTACGAATACAGGGTGGTGAAAAATCTAAAATTCTGATGACCGTCTTTGTTTCAATTAAATGTCAGTAGATAGTGGATCGAAAGTCAAGATAGGGACTTATAAAAACAGTTTTGGCCAATAATGAATAGTTTCGACACAAAAAAATTCTAAGTGAAATACAGAGTGTCCTATTGAAAAAATTATAAATGTTGCTCATAAGTATTTTTCGAGTTTTTCAACTGTTTTTCTGTTGGCATATATGAAATCTACAGGAAAAAATATAAAAGAACGTTCCTTAAAGAAAAAAAAATTAACAATACATAATAAAGTTTAGTGGGGGTTCAAAATATACGTGAAGACCCTATACTTAATTAGGTTTTACCGAAAACTGTTTCATTGAATTTCCGAATAACATGAGTTTTTCAGTTCATTCATTTCTAGGATATTTTATTTTTGGTAAAATTGTATCATCTATGAGAGCGAAATAAAAAATTTAGGTACTCACTTGAATATCAGATTGATGAATTCGTCTGGCATATACTTCGATATAGGAACTGAGTAGGAGAAATTGTACTGTGCGTTAGAGATCTCGGTACGGTATTTTGGTGTTAAAGTTGTGTTGAAGTTCTTCCCATGTATTATTATGGTGAAAAGTTGGTCATCTGTAATCAACACAAAATAAATCGCTAATAACATTGAAGCATTTTCAACATAGAAAAAAACAAAGCAAACATGTAAATGTAGCTTCAAGTTTCTGATGTTCTCTGAACTAAAGAAGAAATTTTTGAAATCGGTTGTAAAATGTAGATTCCAGAAAGGCGAATGAGACACAAATGTGCACATTTGTGTCACATGTTCATGTTGAAAATTGGAGCAGATTCATTCTAGAAAGCTTGGTTATTGTTTTTTACCTGTCGAATAGTAAAATGTCACAGCTTTCCAAATAAGTGATGATATACAAGGTGTTCTGTTTAAAGAAACTGATTATTAGTCATTTTCATGAGCCCCGGAAGGAAGTTACTTCTGGGTCTCCCTTTACGCTGAAAATGAGAGTTACTTCGCAAACCTAATAATTCTGAATAATGAAAATATAATAAGTGAAACACATATCGCTTCAAGAGCGGATAATCGAAAAACCGTTGTAGCTAGACAATTTGAAAGAGGGTAAAATTTTTATGTGAAATTGAATAAGCTAAACCAGCAACATTCGTATTACTCTTTATATTTTGGTGTTAACTATCTGTAGTTCAGAGATATACAATTCCTAATGAATGACCCTGTACAAGATATATCTATGGAACATATCAATGGGAGACTTCTCTCCAAGTTGCCAACCTAAAAACCTCTACCAATGTAGAAGCAACATTATGGAAGTTTTATAGCTCAAATGGCTTTATTTTGATGAAATCTGATGTAGGAGTCTACTAAGCTGTGTAATAGAAGTTATTCAGAAGAAAAACCAAATTTTTGTGATCTCGCGTTCTGATTAGTTGAAAATTATGTTGATGCGCCTGTTTTCATTCTGAAATATGTCATATCGTCGTCAATTTTGTTTACTTGTCACATTTTTGTTACTCACCTGAATGAAAACTGGTAAAAATTTCCAATAATAGATGCCGGAATACAACAATATCAAAATAACCTACGTTTACTTAAATAATCAGACACAGATAGTTTAAGGGAAGCTGAAATTACAAAAATATTCGAACACAACAGTATCTATTATAGCATGAGATAGTATGAATGGTGAACAAATATAAATGAACAACAATAAAATGAAGTCCTAATAACAATGTTATGTTGATTACCATTACGACGAGTTTCTTGAACATAATTCGAAGTCCGAACGTGATTCATTGATATACCATTTTTCACTAGTGACACTACTGACACTATGAAAAGTATTGACATATCAGTATTGATGTTCGCGATTCCATTTATTTATCCGTGTTTGGCGTCCAAGATTGTTAGCGGAATGAATCGCGGTGCCTACCTTTTTTTATGTTCTGGTTCCCACATGAAAAGGGATATCCTCTGTAATGTTCAGAGAACATCGTGAGAACCAAGGAAAATAGGGTAGGAATTGGTGTTCTCAAATTTCTGGAGGTTTTATGCCTCGGGGAACACCTCCCTTGGCAATGTGTTCCAGAGCCTTGCTGTTCGTTGGATGAACGAGTCTTTGGAAAGAGATGTCCTGCAGGTCTCCAAAGTGACCACGAGGAGGTGCGAAGCTTCAACTCGACGCGTTAATCTCGCGGGGACTGCCAATGGAGGAACAATTGTTGATATTTCAGAAATGAAAATATCTATAAAATAGAGCCAGATCGCAAATTTTTCTACGGTGTTCCAGAGAAGTGAGTGAGTTCGTGGGCGAGGCATCACCCACGAGACGAATTGCACTTTTTTGGACAGAATCCAACAGTTTCATGGTATGCTTGTGTGCTGCACTCCAAATGTGGGAACAGTATTCCAGGACAGGTCGGATCTGTGCCTTATAGATCATAAGCAGCTGACTGGAAGTGAAATAGCTCCTGGCCCGAACCAGAAAACCAAGTTTTTGGGATGCACTTTTAGCAATTGATCTCACGTGATTTTCCCAAGAAAGGTTATTGCTGATAGTAATACCAATCATCGAAATGGATGTCTTCAAAGGTATGGTTACTCCTGAGAAGCTTATGTTGGGCACAGTGAGATCGGCTTTTTTAGAGAAAAGGCATGCTTGTGTTTTGTTTGCATTGAAATCTACCAAGTTATTGGATCCCCATTCGGGAATTGTTGCCAAGTCCATATTTATGTTGTCGACATTTCTCCCTCGTTCGTTACTGATTTGCCTGGCTGGTATTGGAGCCCTGGAAGAGAAGGCGGTATGGAGGGTACTATCATCCGCGAAGCTGTGTACTGGACATGAAGTTGCTTCCAACAAATCGTTGATATGGAGTAGAAATAGTGTTGGTGCTAGAATTGATCCTTGCGGAACACCAGTATTTTTGATAAGAGAGTCAGATGAAACTCCGTCGACCATTACATGGAGGGACCTGTTCGAGAGAAAACTAGCTAGCAGAGAACATAGCTGGGGAGGCAAGTCATAAGATGGAAGCTTGGCGAAGAGTCCGTGGGGATAGACTCGATCGAATGCATTGGAGATATCAAGTGCCACGGTTAAGGTTTCACCATATTTTTCAATAGATTGCTGCCATATACAGGCTGTTCCTTAATGACATGCTAATATTCAAGGAGGCGATTCTTGGACCCATTTCAAGAATAAAACTTTATATGAACGTATGTCATAAACGTCCCAACTTTTGAGAAACAGGGTATCATAGTTGAAAATATGCATAGAATATTTTCTTATCAACCCTGTATAGCCATCCGTGATTGAAAAATTCAGTCTGCTATGTGACTGAATTGGTGAAAAAATTTCAAAATGTTACATACTGTGGTTATCTAGTAATTGATGTCATGAATGAAGTACTAAGCTTAGCATTCACATCAAAATTTAATGTCTGGTCTCGTTTTTCAGTTTTTTCTCGAACACGCAGCGTTCTATCGAGTTTCAACATGATGATCTTTTTTGTACAGAATTGAATGGCCTTTCATAGGATTGTATGAAATTTGTAAATTTTCCTACGTTGCTCACTCTTTAGTAAAATATGAACAATAATATCCCCCAAACGGCGCCACTGGTAGAGGAAGTGAACATTTGTGTACATCAGAAAATGCACCTTGATGCATAGAAGACATGTACCAAATTTGGTAAAGATGTCCACAATATTATCCCAGTTACTATTGAAAAACTGATTTTTTTCAAAACTGTATCGCCCTGTACCTCGAAAGTTAAGAATTTTAGGACATACGTTCATTGAAAGTTTTTATCTTAAAATGAGTCAAAGAATCACCCCCTTTAATATTAGCATGTCTTAAAGGAACACCCTGTATGTGAGACGTAAGCCAGCAGGTCACCAGTTGATCTCTGATGACGGAAGCCATATTGCATATCGTTGATAATACCTGAATGTTCCCGGTATTTCATGAGCTCGATGTTGATAGCTTTCTCCATGATCTTTGAAATAATAGATAGCAGTGCGATCGGTCTGTAGTAGCTAGGTAGAGTCTTTTTGCCTTTTTTAGGAACTGGTTGTACTCTTGCATTTTCCTATCGTTATTAATACAGGCTGATTTTAAAATGAGTGCATATATTCAAGCAATATATATGAGAGAGTCTAACAAAAATTACTAAAATATTTGGTTTTTCCTAAGTCTTCACATTAATGAGAAATTTCATTTTGAAAATTGAACATAAAATGCTTCGAAATTCGAGTACGCCATTGGGAAGCAAGTGAAATCTGCGGAATCCCAGGGAATCCCCAATTCGTCATTCACTAACGTCAAAACAAGACAGTGATGCCAGATTGTTTCAGAGACGAATATCCTGATAAAAATTTGTCACAGAATGAATATGAATTGGAATAGGTTATGGAAACTAATAGAGGTGAATGTAATATGTACAGGAGCCTTATTTTTTTAAGTTTACTGAGAGAACTGTGGGGTGATTATCTCCATGGATCACGAGAGATGGAGAGAAACATGAGGGGAATGATAGAACGTCCCCCTTCCTTCAATTCGAAAATAAGGCCCCAGCGGGTAGATACAAAATTAGCAGACAATAAATAGGTACACAACATACACAAAGTTGAAAATCGACTCACCTAGTAGATTTTCTCATACCTACTCGAACAGCAAAACTCCCGAGAGCAAACAAATACTAATATCGAGTCCATTCCAGACTAATATCGTCCTGTGTTCTTGTTGGTTCATATTCCCACTTAAACCATCGAAAACGACTCGACGACGACATATCCTTCCTGGCAATCTCACATTGAAAATCACGATCACGACCATATCACGATTATCACGACACAAGACACAACATCCAATTATTTTATTTTTTATTTTACGTTTACAATTATTTTACAAACCAGCAACCACACAAACAAAACTATTATCATATGATCTGTCAACATCATTTCTCAGAACAGCAGTATCTGTGACCATAGATTTCCTCTTTGCTGTGACCTTTGACAGTACTAACTAGGATTGTTCGCGTTCAGAAAATAAACAATCCGAAACCGTCACAGGCATGCACAAGTCCACAGAACCCAAAAAAATCATACAGTTCTGTGAAATTGCGCATGCTTCTGAACGTTTCGGACGCAAGAATTCAGATGACCATGAATTACTAATAGGCGATTTCTACGGACCAATCAGAAACAGCAAAGTAGCGCCTGCGTGGTTGAGATTCATCCTGATTGGACACAGCTGATTGGATTTGTGAGATTAGTGTATAGTGAGGAAGTATCATTTCATTGAATTAAACTGATAGATGTTTTTTCCAAATTAGTTTTTTATGAAATTGGTAGTTTCATTTAAAGATATGATCCTTCCTCACTAATACATTAATCTCAATCACCTGTGCCCAATCAGGATGAATCGCAACCACGCAGGCACTACTTTGCTGTTTCTGATTGGTCCGTAAAAGTCGCCTATTAGTAATTCATGATCATCTGAATTCTTGCTGGTAGCACACCATAAGAACAATCAAAACAAAGATCCTTTCTTGACAGTTTGTTGTTCTGAGAATGTATGTTATTTTGGAAAAAGTCAAAACGTGATACTAGTAAATGTAAAGTTTTGTTTCTGACAATTTGCTTGGAATGTGACGATGCATTTCTCAAACATTGAGCTGAATGATATGGTTCTTATGTCGGGTCGTTATTGTGCGGGGCCCATGAGCCCCCTCGAAGGACACGAAATTGTAGCGATGCAAGGAGGTGGAAGGAAGAATTTTTCAGTAAAAGAACTTCCAACCGTGAGGTGTTAAGTTATACGCTATTCGAGGATTCGAGCTTATGTGTAGAAATCTTGGGTGAGTCCATTTTAAAGTTTTTGTATCATCTTTCTGAAATTCAAGACCAGGGTTAACTTCTTCCCCGTGTACATTTTCTCGATTATACATTTCATTTAATATCTCCTAGTTTTCATGTAGAGTGGCAACGTCGCTTCGTTCATCATGGTCGACTGCGGATCGCAAACGATAGTTGTGACAGAAGTAGAAATCTGGGCGGAAAAAGGGTATTTTGCCCAAAATCTATTTTGTTCTAAAAAAAAAAATTTGTTCTAAAATTTGTTCTATCCGTCATTCGGTTGCCCCCTTACGAGCAACCCTCAAAAGTCTTCGAAAGTCTTGTGCGAGCAAGGAATGACGGGGGCCTTACCTTTTAACGTGTGATCCCAAACACTTTCTTGGGCCATCAGAAAAATTTCTGCAGTCGACGGGGATCGAACCCACGACCGGCAAGCGAATGCGAATTAGAATATAGACAGTCTGTCCGCACGGCTACCTGGCCTTGATCCTAATAATATTTTTAATAGTGCTATTCGGTAGTATACCTCAAGCTTTCTTAGTGTTTAAAATATATGCACTTATTTTAAAATCAGCCTGTATGTTTCACTCTCTTGAAGCGCCTGAATGAGGATCCCTATAATGTTCGGGGAACATTAGGCGTATCTATGTAATAATGGTGGGACAAGGAGCGAAGGAAGGTATTAGAATTTTTTTTTTCAACTTTTGTAGGTTAGTCTGTGGCACTCACCGACGATATCGAACAGATTAGCCTCGTCCGTGTAGGTGTCCCGCCGCTGCCTGGCCTGCTTGTCGATGTCGTTGGAGTGGAAAGGCTTAGCGATCTTGTTCTTCTCAACGTTGAGCAAAGGCCCGCCCGCCTTGGTCCTGTTGAAGGGCGGCCGCTTCTCGGAGAAGTGCGCAGTGGGCTCGTGCGCCGGTCGCGGTGGGGGGTTGGCGCAACAGAAAATCTGGAAAAAGAAAGGACAGTGGGCGAGGTATAATTATTATTATTAATTATTTTCAATTGCATTTCCTCGTTTTACCCAGCACTGGATCCAACGCCACAAACATCCATGGCCTAACTGGGATTCGAACCCATGCCTCGGTGGGAGTCCCCATACGAACTCAGCGCCATCGCGCTCTCGACCACCGTGGGTAATATCCCGAGCCCATGAAAAATATCCGACTTCTGTCGAAAGAAAGAAAACTCGAAGTCGTCTCCACAGGTTTAATGTTGAAAAGATGCAGTCAATCCTACTTCAATAAGGTTTAAGACATGTTTCGGCCATTCAAATGGCCATCTTCAGTCAAATTAGTACATCAAAGTGAATTTACAATAGAAAACCCAAGCATGATTTTATATCATGATGAAGAAATTGAAAAAGATAATTCACAAAGTTGTAAATGTAACATTGAATTAGTTAACAATTTCAGTAGTATAAAAGAACAATGGTGATTATTATAAAGTATAACAATATCAATTGATTAGTAATTGATGAGTGAAATAAGGTAAGAAGGTTGTACTCACGTGGAAAATTTTTAAAACATCGTGAAGGCGAAAAAATATTCATCTTAATACATAACTAATTTATTTGAAAAATGTTATTTAAATTGGGTAATTTTGAAAGGGAGGCAAAAAGCCAATCCCTCAAAGAGAAAATTAACTTCGCCATAGGCAGCCGAAGGAGATCTGCGTGTCTTGATCATTATTCGCGGGACTCAATGTCGCTCAATGGCGCTCGGTTTTCATCGTTCCATGTCAAAGCCACGTCAAAACTAGGGGAAAACAAACTCAATCCTCACTCAATCCCATTAGTGCCATTAGCTTGTGTACTGTGTACTGATAAGAGTGATAAGTTTTTAAATTTCTTGACATTAATTGTCAATATTCGATCGAGAACGCTAATAATGCCTGTTGTAGATGTTCTTTTGGCAGATATTTTGCTCTATTTAGATGAAAAAAGCTGACCAGTAGTGGAAGGAGAAGCAGTTCTCCGTGCTAATCATGTGATTTTGTGTGCGGTAGAACACTTCAACAAAAGGCACCTTTTTGCACTTTGTCTACAAACTTCGGCGATGCAATCTTCCCCACATGAAGTTAAATTTAAGTTGGGGTCCAGAGGAACTCCTGTAGAATAATGGATTTGTATTTGTTCTTGCGAAGCAGGACAATCTGGGTATTGTAAACATGTTGTAGCAGTTCTTTTATATGTCAAGTGATTTGCTGGTCAAAATTAGTTTGAATTGTTTGAACTATCTCCAATTCTACACCCGTTCACTGTTCACTAAACAAATAAAAATGTAATAATGTTAAAAAATTACCCAACTCAACCATCATCACTACCAACAGTGCCAACACTTTATGTCATTGACAAGTTTGACTACAGCTACAGCAAGCTGAATGCAATGTAGTCTATGCACTTTATCCATAGACAACAGTTTGAAGTTCGTATTATGTAACCTAGATGTCGCCCACTTCGTGAATCTCGCGATTAGAAACAATGGAAACCAAAGCGCTGTCAATGTAGAACCTGTTGAAGAACCAAAGAAAGACAGAAAACTGTAATGTGATTACTCAAAGAAACCTGTGATGGCAAGTAACAAGCTTAAGGTAAGTGAGTTGTGCGACAGCAGATAGATGGCGTGCTGTGTCTGAAAACTTTTAAAATTTGAAAATTTGATTTTTGATTTTTTGGAAAAATAGGAAAACACTGAACAGATTGTGAATAATTCAAAAGGCGACAAAATTTAATTACAATTTTTTTGTAACCTAGTTGATTCCCATATGGGGTGCTTGTGGACACTATTCGAGAAAGTATAAGAACTACTAAATAAAATTGTTAATGTTGTATTCAATATGGGGTTCAGAACACCAACAAAACAAACTGGTATTTTACCAATCTCAGGAATATTAAAAATTGAACAGAATAAATTCATACACAACAACATAATGAATATAAGTGTAATTTACGAATTAAATTAAACCATGAAGGCCATTTCAATGAGATAAGGAACCAAAGAAATATACTCGGAAATATATATATCCAGCCCAAAAGAACGAACATCACTTTAAATAAACCTCTCAATAAATGTATCAAAACTTTCAATTGTCTACCAGTGGTTTTGAGGGAAGCGGATAACATAAAAATATTTAAAACTGAGTTGTCAGAAAGAACAATAACATCGCAGCATGAAGAACAGATGAGGATAATAGCAAATGAAACAATGAAATGTGTGTAGGTTCAAAAAGTTCCGAGACCAGCATCACGTGCTGATTTGGAACTATTTCTCAAATAGCACCGATAACAGTTATGTACTATATTGCAATGATTAAGATCAGATTGTGAACTATTTGAATAAAGCCTTTAAAAAAACCCTAGACATTCATTTGTTGCTTAACGACAAAAATTCGTTTATACAATGATAAAATTGATGCTATTTGAATTTGAGTAAGAACTAGAAACTTATCAGTGATGTGATGAAATGTTATTGTTTGCACTTTATTGAAATAATGGCATGTAAGCTAAGAATAAAAAGGTAGGAACTGCTTATTTTCCTTCAATTTCCTTCATTGAAAATGTTGCCATCTCTCTAAAAATCATACCTACATCGGTAGTTTGTCAACTGAGAAACGAAAATTATGAGTGAAGAGTAGAAACAGATCGATGTTTCACACATAAGTAGTCCAGTGAAAGGAATCATAATGAGGAAACATTATCTAAATATTACATTTGAGACTACTACTACATTGAAGGCTACGCCTGGGCTATGAACCGCAAGCCGCGTCATTAAATCTTGTGCTTCTCTGCCTAGTCCTATTGTTCAATTTGTGTTTTATTTTGAACGGGTCTGGCTTTTTTCGGAATACTGATTCTGTGATAACAAGAATTCGAGAGCGCTCTGAGAAATGAGATTTCATTGCTCTACAGATTTCAACTTTGTGCGATAATTTTTTCAGTTCATTTTTTTTTCTGTTCTCACCTGACATAAGTTTGAACTTTCCAGGTCTTGCTCTACAGTTAGACAATCTATAGGTCGTCCGATTATGAATGACGGCCTCCTGTTGACTAGCTCTGGATCCACAGTTACCTTTGTGATTTCTAAAAATAACATATTATTTGATAACAACTGTTTATTTTCAAGAAAAATTAATTTATTATTTTCAGATGGGAGAGATAATTATTCAGTATTTCTCGACCTCGACTTGACCAAAAATCAACTACAGTTTTCACCACTCCGAATTCGACTCTTTATCAACAACCTGTATTTTTGGTAAATTATTAACTTAATCATTCTAGACAATGACATAGAGAATGGCAATTATTCTATAGGGCGTTGATAATCTTCATTGAAAAAAAAACCGGCAATAATAAATAAAATCAATCATTTTAAAAATGCTCCAAAACATTGAATTTTAATAATGGGTAAAGGTTTTTTCATATGAAAAAGTTACAATTGGAGGAATACTTCTTTTGATTTTTCCATGAAGAGGATAAAAACGGTACCAATTCTAATTAACTAACAAAACACAAACACTTAGGTACCTGATAGCGACAAATAAATAGTAATAAAAAGTTCAAAATGTAAAATAAGCACCTGTTCAAATATTTACTAAAACAATTGAATTTCGAAATTATTCAGTAACTTATTCATTGAAATGTTGATGTTCATTTTCCCTGACACACAATCGCCACACTTTCTCAATACGTCTTAATACAGTAAGGGGTACAATAATCTTGAAAACTTCGTGCAAAACACAGGCAGTTTTTCAGGAATTACAGAGATATCTTTCAATGATTTTGAATGCATTAGACGCATAGAAAAAATGTGTGAGTGAAAATAGACATCCATTTGAACAATTCAATGAATAAGTTACTGAATGATTTCGAAACTTAATCGTTTTAGTAAATGTTTTATCAGGTGCTTATTCTACATTATGAAATTTTTATTACTATTTATATGTTGCTATCACGTACCAGTTTTGTGATCTTGTTGGTATTGTTTTTGTGCTCTTCATGGAAAAATCAAAAGAAATATTCCTTCAATTGGAACTTTTTATATAAAGAATCCATAGTCCACTATTAAAATTCAATGTTTCAGTGATTTTGGAGCATTTTTGAGAATTTTATATTTATACATCATAATATATAATTTTGAAGTGAAGAAAATTAGGAATTAAAAAAAATCATAAGTTTGACTAGTATCTCTAAAACCATACCCCAAAAAAAAATTACGGCCCTGGATTCTGCGTAAAATTTTCTATGGGATGAGATTTTAATTTGAAATTTTCAAAAAGTATAAATTTTCAAAATCGCCCTGTTTCTCATAAATAGAAAAAGTTATGCAAAATCTGAGTAGGACCGCGAAAACCGCAAGGTTCTATCTCCAAAGATAACTGAGATATTACGCAAAAGCATCGGAAACTGGATACACTGTCCACTTCTCTGTATACAAAAGTGTTATTGTAGGTACCCTCGCCTTCAGTGAACATGTCGCGGTTCGACGGTATGAGCGCTCTTACTACAGCGGTGATTAAGAGGGCTGACACCGTCCATGGGCGACATGTTCTCTGAAGACGACTGTACAGTCAGATACAATAAGCATGTCGCACATGGGAGTGATAACACCTCTAGTCACTTCTGCAATAAGAGCGATAACGTTACCAATCCGCACATGTTCTTTGCATCTGACTGTACCACTTCACATCCTGTGTAAGTTTCGCTCTGTTGATTATCTGCCATCATAGTAGATATCCTAGAAGTCGATAAAATATCACATCCGGCACCGAAAAACAGAAGTAAATCGATTAATTCCTTCATAAAATACAGGTTGTGGAAAAAGAGTCAAACTCTGAGTGGTTTACTAAGTGTGTTTACGTAGATTTTCAAAATCTTTATGATTTTGCTCACCTTCTTTATTATAAAAATGTGTCGTTTCGTACGGAGCGGTGGTAGGCGTCCAAGTGGTATGGACTTTTGTGGTTTTGGAAGGCCTTTTAGGAATATAATTATTATGAGGTCTATCTATGTTAGGCTGCATGTACTGTGAATGGCGAGCTACCTCCATCAGATACAGTGTAGTAATAGCGGCCAAACTGAAATTAAATATAGAATACTACTGAAGCTTTTCTTGGCCTGTATGCATGGGTATACTCTTTTTTCTATTTGAAGGTACAGCTTTGGAGTCGATTTACAAATGAAAATAAATAAATAAATGAAAGTGACATATTTTACACGAGTGATATTTAGAACGTAGCGGAGAGTGGGGAAATGTAACGAGTGCGTGAAATACACTTTCCAAAGGGTTGGGTACACTATTTTTCCTACGTCCATAAATATATCACTCGAAACAAAAGACACAAATACAAATTTGAAACATTTAATTGTTTGCAATTTTACTTGTTAATATTATTCCAACTTCTTATTTAGGAAATAAATCATTATTTCTTTCCGAAGAATACAAATTGAAAGTAATACGGTTTGGAAATCATATGACTCGCAGATTATCATAAAATGACAAATAATACCGAAACCTAAACAATTATTTTTTCTCATGAGGCAAAATTCAAACTCTACCGAAAATGAATGTAATATATACAATGACAGTAAGTGTTACAATATGATTATACATTATATAGACCAAACAAATATCACGTGAGTGTGCGGGAATATTGCCACATTGTTCGTTTTCACATTCATATTGCTATGGTGATATGATGTAATTCCTGAGCAACAACACAGCTATATGCTGCTTTCATAGGTGGTTGTAAGAAAAAATATTTCCCCAATGAATCACTGAATTTCCATTATTTTGGTGTACAAAAATCAGTTTCAGATCTTTTACAAAATACGTAAATTTTTGTATGGCAACTCTGGAGCAGAATAAAGAAGGAAAAGACGGTATTATCCAGATTACTCAAGTTTGACTGATTAATCTGGATCACAAAAAACAGTTAGATACGAGAATTTCTATACAAAAAAAACTACTAAGAAGTTTCACTAGATTCACGAAACGTTGAAGCGGAAAGTGGAATTAGCTTCAATGCGAAGATTTCCGAAACATTCAAGATTATGATGCGCGGTTAAAAGAAAAGGTACTTAAATTTGACTGACTGATCTGAATAACAAGAATCTCCAAATTTGTTATCAAATTCCTGTATTTTTGGTGTACGGAAATCAGTTTCATGTCTATTGCGTTACCTTATTCACCAAGATCACAGTTATATGCAAACATTTTTGTAGAAAAACATGAGGATGGTAGTCATGACAAGTCTACTGAGACGATTCATCAAAATCACAGTACAAGTAAGAACATTTCTTACGGCAATGCTGAAACGTAATTGGCTTTGATGCGAAGATTTTCAAAATATTCATCATATATGATACATGACAAGAAGGAAAAAAATCTGTTTCAACTAGACCATAGTCAACTATGATTTTCATTTGGAAAAATGTAACTTTGGCAATATCTTGAAATTGCCCATTTGTTGTTCAAATGTTCTCAGCGCCACTGGATTATACAAAAAATAGAAGATGCTAGCAAATTTTTTGTTCCCGCCAGCGAACTTATTTTCAAAAACAGACTTCCATTATTTTGAGTCTCCAATAGCTGTTACTAAGATATCCTATTCAAAATTGGAAATTTACCCACCCTATACACATAATTCTAATTTTCATGGTACTTACCAGAATGCCATTATTATAACTAATACCACTATGATAATTTGTATAAATTTGTTCGAACAAAGTTCTTCATCTTTGTAACAGGTATGGCGAAGATGCTTTGAGCATTTGTGCGAATACGATAGCTTAGAACTATTAACTGAAACAAAAACAAGCCATTGATATGTGCATAATATTCATACACTGTGTCCAAAATGCTACCTCCACCCTAGTTAATGTTCTTTAATTTTTTTCTGCTCTGATGGTTGTTGTATCTCTCAAAAGGGCGCCTGGATGCCATTTTGGGAGAATATTTCAAAAGGAATGGGGGGTCGAGTGGTACCTCATTTGTAACCTCTTTCAGTTCTCTAGATGACATCAGAATTTCAAATCTCATACCAGAAACCTATCAACTAGAGTGCCTTGATCAAATCAATACGTTACGTTCTTTGAAGAGTGTGGACACACTTGTCATATTGTTAAACAGCTGAACGAAAAACATGAGAAACAAAATATAATTTATAAGAGGTAGAATGTACTTTTTCTGTACCCCGTCATTGAACGAGTTCAGACATATTTTTATTTTAAACCCTATCATTGAAGTAACACCAAATCAAATCAAACCAAAATATACTTTATTGTCTGAAGAATAGAATTCTCATTGACAAAGGCGACATGCATATATCAATATATAAAGGAATAAAGTAGAGTACCAACAAAATATAAATACAATGTATATATATATAAGCCTTACAAAACATATAGTCAACAAATCAAAATAAATAAAGAATACAGAACACTGTTAAAACCACACAATGTACTTAAAAGTTCTAAATCGAAATACGTCACAATATAACAATGTTTGAATTATTTCAGGAATTTCTCTGAGAAGAATTCGTCCAAAGAGTAAAAAGCCTTTTTCATTAGTAGACTTTTGACTAAGTTTCTGAAAATTTTTTGGTTGTAGATACATTTTACCTCATCAGGCAAATGATTATACAATTTTCTGCCATTCTAAATGAAAGAGTTAATTATTAATGTAGAGCTAGGTATTGGCATGGTGGAAATATTATATGGTGTGCTACTCTGGTAGCTTGAATTCGTCTTTTCTGCGCATAACGTCATTGCGAGTCTATACTCGCACCAAAATGATTACGGCAACTCGGGCGAACTGATAACTAAGAGCTCAGACTGTGAGCAATTGTTTTACTCGCAGTGACGTATACGAAGATGCGTCGTAGCACAACATACTATAATTTCACCATGAGTATTGATACATTAAAATTATGTGCCCGTCTTCTATTATTATAGTGTGGATCAATGAGAGCAAAGTATACACTTTTGGCCATATCCATACCAAGTTTCCATAATGTTGTTCTGACTGCATAACAGCCAGATGACAATTTTTTTCTTCTTAATTTGTCAATATGGTCACTAAACTTCAACTTATCATCAATTTCGTATCTGTTCTATTACTAATTACTTGATTACCTATAACTGAAGTTATTCCTACAGAGTGCAATTGAAAGTTAGGACACTTGTTTTAGAGATGTTAAAGGACAACATATTGGAATCACACCACTTTCTTACCATGGCAATATCGTTGCTAATTGTTTGTGGTAAGTCACAACTATTTTTATTGTCAACTACGAAATAGCCACAACGCACAAAGTTGAATGAAATGTTAAATAAATACAAAAAGCTCAATGTCATTTCCACACAATGTTCATAAAATGAACAACAATGGTAGATTTCGGGAAAAAATCAACTGCTTTCCTGACTAATGCCATGCAGAACATTCAATTGCGTCCTCCCAAAATCTATGCATCGGCTCGTATAAGCGAATACTGATACAAGTGTATCTTTCCTGAATGCCTATTGATTTTGATTTAGCCAGGCCATACTAGACACCTACAGACCGGTTTCGAGCTCTTTGACTCTCATCAGTGCAGGGCGGTCTCCAGTTAGCAGTCCTGAGACCGCCGACTAAACGTAGCCTAGCCAAACAAAAATCAAGTCGTCATTATTTTCTCCCAGAGGCGTCCTTCATAGACAATATGGAAGGAAAAAAACACTCCAAAACTGAAATTCCAATACGGGAGTGGCCTTCATATTGTCTATTAAGGACGCCTCTGGAGGGGAATATTGAAGGCTGTCTTTTTCAATAACCCAACCTGAATAAATAACAATGAATTTTCATTCCCTACTAATCTTATGGAAAATGTGAATGTAAGTCTGCTCGTCAGGCTTTCACACCAAAACTACTCAACCGATTATCATGAAATTTCGTATACATATGATGTATTAGAAAGGACATAGGACCCATTTTTCCCCGTTCGTCCTCTGGCATTGTCTTTTGAGTGATAATTTTCACTCACTCCTATGTATAGATTGCTTGCGGACATTTTCGTATAGAAGGAAAGAAAATGCCAGAGGACGAACGGGGAAAAATGGAGACTGTATAGTACCATCCTGCCAGCGATACTTCACATAGTGCATGGATTCGAGTGACTTCGGAAATTGGAAGGATTCTGCGACCTGGTATGTGATGAGAACTCGACCTTCCTGCCGATTGATCGACGGATGTACCGTTAGCTCAATTGGCAGAGCGTTGGGCATGTAATCCAGAGGTAGTGAGTTCGACTCTCACGCGGGGCGGTGGAGTTTTTTCGTTTTCCTTCGTCGCTCTAAATTAGAGCTTTCCATCATATTCATTATTATATTGTTTTTTTTTTCGCTCTATCCATTGGCGTAAAATTATATACAGGGTTCCATTTGACCCAAGTCAATTTCCGGTGAAACCGGAAGTGATATTCAATTGCTTCTTCATGTAAAATATGGGTTGTAAGGAACTATATTATCCTCGATCCAAATTTGGAAATTATAACTTGAAAAACAAATGAGTGACGCCCTGTATAGGCAACTAGGTTTTCATTCAGAATTATAACTAGGGGGAAGCATGCTTTATGGGCACAGTGCGTATATTCACTTATTTCAGTAACACGGTATATAATCGACTCACCTGTGCTTGTGGACTTGAGACTATCACCCCGTTTGAGTTTGTTCAACCTCCTGTTTATCCTCTCCAGTTGATCGATTCTCGTTTCCAAGTTATCGGTCACTTTACAGAGCTCCTTCACTGCCCCAATGTTTTCCATAAATATTCTTTCCTATCGAAACATATAAACTTTCAGAAAATAGAATGAAATAAAATATTTACTTTATTTATTGAAACTGTGACTTCCAGTCAGAAACAAGTTCTGCTATAAGGAAGTATAGTTAATAATAGGTACCTAACTATACAATTATAACAAACTCGCATGAATAGTATGAATATGTGAATACATTAAATATACAATTTATGAAAATCATTTCATATTGGTGAACAAAAATCAATTTGAATAGGAATCAAGTTGGAAAAAAAGAAGAAAAATCATTTATTTCGTTCAGAAATGATAAACTTTTCAAGTTCGTATTTGAATTTGATAATATTTCTGCAATTTTTTAAATTATCTGGTAATTTGTTATATTCGAACAAAGCAGCGGGGGTGAATCTTTTTTGTCCAATAAAATAATGAGCAATATCATGAATTTTATTGTTCTGTGTTGAAATAAAAATGGATTTTAATCTGTTATCTATGTATTTATGTAATTTTCATGATTTCAATTTTGAACATTTCTTCTAATGAAAATGATTCTGTTATTTTACGTAACTGATTTCTTGTTGTATCATATGGTACAGTACTTTCAATGCATTTTTATATAATGTGATCAAGTTAGCAAAGAGTCTAAATGAAAATTGAAGGTGGACTTTGGCAGAATGAACGTAAGAACACTAATTTTTAGAAGAATACTATGACCTGCAGTACGGCACAGAGATTTTTTTCGAATTTTTTATTCGTTATGGATTTCCCAAAATGAATTCCCGAAGAAATGCTATGTTAGAACACGACAGATAATCGTCAGCGGTATTGACGTCACAAGTACTATAATGCGTCGACCTTCTATTTTTGTTGAAATACTTATTATTTTAGAAGCTATACTTTATATGAACTTTGAACACACTGTATTAGGAATTTAGTGACATGAATGAATGATTGACATCTGCTGACATTGTATAAAGAGAAAAAGGTCTAGTTAGTTCGATATGATGTAGTCATGGTAGATTGTTGAATAATTATGAATGAGATTGTTTTCGCAAAATCTGAAATAAGTTTGAATTCATTTTATGATTAAATAATGAAGAACATGATCCACGCATTTCTTATTTTAACATGGTAGCAGAGCGTGGTTTTTGAAAATAAGGAAGATATAATAAAATGGCTGAGAAGAAAGAAGATTGTGTGTTACCGATATTTGATGGAAAGGACTGGTCCAAATGGAAATTCAGATTATTATTAGTATTGGAGAGTAAGAATGTTAAAAATGTTATCGATGGGACAATACCTACAGATGAAGAAGGAAAAAGGAAATGGGATACAAATGATGTAAGAGCACGTTCGATAATCGTACAGGGAGTTTCAAATGCACAATTGGAATTGATTATAAATGAAACTAAGGCTGCTGACATGATAAATAAATTAAATTCAATCTATGAACCCTCCTCAACATCCCTGAAATTGATAGCGAAACGGAAACTGTTGGATTTGAAAATGAAAGAAGAAGATGACCCGAAAGAATTCCTCACCAAATTCGAAAGGCACATTAATGACCTCAGAAATACAGGTGAATCAGTAGCGGAAGAAGACCATCTCAACTATTTGTTGCTTGCACTTCCAGAATCCTTCAGTAATATAGTGGATATAGTTGATGCATTGGCTCCAAACCAAAGGACAGTTGAATATGTCAAATCAAAATTATTAATTGATTTCAACAGACATTTAGCGAATAATGAAAACTTCAGGAGTCATGTATTCAGTTCACAGGCATCAAGTAGCAGATATGTGGAACAGACAAATAGAGAAGGAAATGATCAACATATGAGGAAATGTTACAAATGTGGACGTTTGGGTCACATTCAAACATTTTGCAGAGGTACATTCCAAAGTAGAGGTCAATATAGAGGTGGACAGAGTTATAGAGGTGGACAGACTTATAGGGGTGGACATACTTATAGAGGTGGACAGAGTTATAGAGGAAACTTCAGAGGCTCATTCAGAGGCCGAGGTAGATACCAACCAGAAATGAACCATAATCGTCACATCCCTACAGGAAATTCCGTTGAAGTAAGAAGAAGTGAGACAAATCAACATAATTCGTTCCAAGTAATGGTAATGACATCCCAGATAGAAGACATTGAGGTAGACAAAATTGAAAATGAAGTAACATGGCTTTTAGATAGTGGATGCAGCGATCACATAGTAAATGATGATAGGTATTTTATAGAAAAGAAAAAGTTAGATGAATCAATAAATATAAAGGTAGGTGATGGTCATTTGATAAAAGCCTTAGCTATAGGGACGATAATTGTAAATTTCAAAGTAGGTGGAGAAAAAATTAGGACATCTATAAAAAATTGTTACTTTGCTCCAAACATGGAAAAGAATCTATTGAGTATGTCGAAAATCACTGATAATAATAACAAAATTTGGGCTCAGGAAAATCACTTGGAAATTATAAATCATAAAAATAAAATTATCGCTGTAGCAGAGAAGAAGAAGAATTTATATGTTTCAACTGGTGATGTAGAATTTGATGTTGAGTCTAATTATTCAAATATAGTGAGCGAAAAAGAGAAATGGCATAAGAAATTAGGTCACATAAATTTTCAAAACCTACAAAATATGTGTAAAAACCAAGTTTGTATGGGCTTACCAAATTCTATAGAGAGTTTTCATCTGAAATGTGAAGTTTGTTTATTATCGAAAATGAGTAATCTAAAATTCGAAAATAATAGAAGAAGGGCAAATGCTTTGTGTGAAATTATACATACTGATGTTAATGGCCCGATAGCTCAAGTAGGTTATGGTGGTGAAAGATATTTTATAACATTCATAGATGATTTTAGTAGGTTAGTTATAGTTTATTGTATAAAGTCGAAAGATGAAGTTTTTGAATGCTTTGAAAAATATGCCAATTTAGTACAAAATCAAACTGAGAAAAAAATTAAAGAAATCAGGTGTGATAGAGGAACAGAATATCTAAACAGAAATTTTTATGATTTTGCAAAAAGGAATGGTATATGGTTAAGACCAAGTCCAAGTTATACACATGAGTTGAATGGGGTTGCAGAACGTTATAATAGAATTCTTATGGATAGTGCACGATGCTTATTATCAGATTCAAAACTAGAGAAAAAATATTGGCCTGAGTGTGTAAAAACTGCAGCTTATTTGAGTAATCGAACAATAAAAAATAATGATTTTAACAGAACTCCATATGAGATTTTTGTAGGCAGAAAACCAGATGTATCAAATTTGAAAATATATGGCAGCTCTGTTTTTGTGAGAATAAATGAAGTTAAACGAAAGTCTAAATTAGAGCCAAAATCAGAAAAAGGTATTTTAGTAGGTTATTCTGACATGGGTTATCGTATACTGATTAATAACAAAATAATTGAAAGTAGACATGTGAAGTTTATTGAACCAGGTGAAAAATCAATAAAAGTATCGAGTGAGTTAGAGGATGAGAGTATAAGTGATGAGTATGAAAATGAGAAAAATGAGCATAGTGATAAGATGGAGATATCTGAAATTGAGACTGAAGAGAAAATGAATGATAATTCTAATGATAGATCTGAAGAGGTGATGAATGAGAGCTTGAATGGCAGAAATATGAACATAACAAATGAGAGACCTAGAAGGGAATCAAAAAAACCAGTGTGGCATGAAGATTATTGTATAGATGCACATTTTTCGAATGTAATTGTTCCTAATACATATTATGAAGCTGTTGAATCTGATGAAAATGTTTTTTGGCAAAATGCTATGGAAAAAGAAATGAGTTGTTTGAATAAAAATAAAACTTGGGAATTAGTAGATCTGAAATCGGTTCCAGAAGGTAAAAAAATCATTCAGGTTAAATGGGTATATAGAGTTAAAGCAGATAATACTTTTAAAGCCAGGTTAGTTGCACTTGGTTATCAACAGCCAAAAAGTTTGGAAGAATCTATCTATTCACCAGTAGCAAAAATGCACACACTTAAATCTTTGTTATCAGTTGCCTGTAGTAAAGGATGGTATATAGAACAAATGGATGTTCAAACAGCTTTTTTGAATGGAAAAATAAATTCTGAGGTTTATGTATATCAGCCCAAAGGATTTGTAGAGGATGAAAATAAAGTATGTCGTTTAAATAAGGCACTGTATGGATTACGTGAGAGTCCGAGAACATGGTATGATTGTTTTCATGAATGTATGATATCTCAGAATTTTGCGAATTCAAAGTATGATAGTTGTTTATATACTAAAAAGGATGAGAAAGACCCTGTATACATTATTTTGTATGTTGATGACTTACTTATTTATGTAGTTCAAATATAAACATGATACAACAAATAAAAGAAACTTTGAACAAAAACTTTGAAATGAAAGACTTTGGGAAAATTAAAAGTTACCTAGGAATTGATATAGAATATGATAAAGACAATAAGTCTATGAGTTTGAATCAAACAAAATACATTGAACTGATTGCAGAAAAATATAATATAATAGAAAGTAAAAATTATCGAACTCCAATAGAAATCAACTTGAAATTGAATCATGCAGAAATTTGTGACAATGATATTCAGTACAGAAATTTGATAGGTGCATTGTTATATATTAGTCAGGGAACTCGTCCAGATATTTCTTACGCTGTGAATTATTTGAGTGGATTCCAGAATAACTACTCAAATACTCATTACAAGTATGCTCTTAGGATTTTGAAGTATTTACATTCCACGAGAAAATTGAGATTAAATTTTAATTCTTTGTGTGATATTCCTATTGATTGTTATGTTGACGCCGATTGGGCAGGTGACACAATTGACCGCAAATCTCGAAGTGGTATTTTAGTTAGAGTTTTAGGTAATCCGGTTTTGTGGATATCACGAAAACAAAAAGTAGTTACTAGATCATCGTGTCATGCAGAATATATTGCTCTAGCAGAAGCAGCAGATGAAGTTATTTTTTACAATTGGAATTGCAAAAGATTTGTCATTGAATATAAGTGAACCCGTGGAAATATTCGA